TTTAATCTTATGAAATTTTTTCATAAAATTGTTTAATCTTGTGAAATTGTTTCATATAATACTTTTTTTGATGAAGTTGTTTCATATATGGTTGTGAAACTGTTTCATATAATACTTAATGAAACTATTTCATGTATTTCTCTAACATTAATGATTTCTCTAAAATTAAAATAATGAAGATGATAATATCTATGATTAACACCCTCCACAATAAAAATGAACAAAATGAAAAATTATGATTGGTTGAATGCGGTTTGCACGGTTTGTACAAATTGAGTGGTTTGCATTTGATCGATCCCCTATGTATGTATGCATATATATATATATATATATATGCATACATACATATATATATATATGTATGTATATACATACATATATATATATATGTATGTGTGAGAGTGTGTGTGTGAATGAATACTAAAAAAAGAGTCATAAAAATATTTATTGTCATCATGAATTAACATTCCTTCAAAAGTCATACAAATTCAAGGATCATAAATATATTGTAAGAAAATTGTGGCTCAAAATTTCCTTGTGATTTCAACCTTTTGCCTTAGGCAAGGGTAAATAATTTAACTATTAAAAGAAAAGCCGAAAAACTGACTTTTTACCTCATCGTCGTAAAAAGTCAACGTTGTTGTGATCGATCAATAATCATCATTCTCATCTCCAGCATCATAATCATAATCATAATCATAATCATAACTACAAGACTCTTGTTCGTTATCGTAGCTCCTCCATTCGGTCTCGCTATAATCATCTTCTTCTGTTTCATCATCTCCATTCATGGGTTCTTTCCCAATAGCATAGCTGCAATTCATTGGATTTGGCTGCAAGGAAAGTGAAAGGTTTGATTTTCTAATCATCATGAAAATTATAACAATTTGAATACCTTTTGATGCAATTTTAGTAATGAAAAAGGGGTACAAGTCGTCCGTCATATGGAAGCATCAAAAGTTTCTCGAAAGATAAAATGTTCTCCAAACCCAGAATCACCCTCTCTACCCTATGGGTAGACCTACTCCGTATGGGACTCACCCTCTCTACCCTATGGGTAGACCTACTCCGTGCGGGACTTACAGGGTTTGGTTTATTCTAGAACCATATAGTTCAATCAACTATGCATTCAACAAACAAAAACAGCTTGATTACCTCATTCCCCCCAAAGAGTGTGTTTAATACATCATAATTGATTTTTGAACTTGATCTCTGCATCTGCAACAACATTAAAGTGTCTTAACATAAATACAATATTTGACTAGACAGGTAATTCAATGAAAGTGTGATGCTACTAGTTAAATAAATTCTCTACAGTGCCCATAAAATAAATAAATCTTAGGTTGCATTTCGTAAATGAGACTGGACACAACTGTACAAAACTCATTCATTTTCCCACGTTTGGTGCGACATGAGACAGGGATAGGGACAAGAACTAGGACTGGGCGGGACAAAAGTAGCTCCTTTTTGTTCCACCAAAATAGGTGGAACAGAAATCACAAGGATGGAAAGAAACTAAAAAATTACTAATCTACTCTCGTTTGATATAACTCTAATATGATATTTGTTTTAATAGCGACCTCCATCCATTACTGCCACCACCTCTACCTCAACCTCAACCTCAACCGCTACCTCCTTCAACTGCTGTCGTAACCACCATTATCGCTGCAACAATCTCCACCGTGCCTCCATCAATTCATAAAAATCTTCCAAATCGATTAGAACATAGTTTTTCCTTTGTACAAACCAACTTTTTTTTAACTACCATCAATTATATCAATTTCTTCATTCAAATTTGATAGTATTACATATGTATGTGAAAATTGTGTAAAAATGTTTATAAATTAAGTTGTTTAAATATTTACATGATTTTGTCATTCATAACTATTATATGATATATAAAATCATCAAACAACTTTTAGGGACTTGTCCGGTCCTATCCAGTCCCGTCCTAGTCATTACCAAACACTTGACAAATAACTTGTCCTATTATGTCCAATCTTTTCCAGTACCACATGCTACCTTATGGACTGAATTCTATATTTATCCATCTCTTGTAGTAACATCTAATCGGCAAAAAGAAAATTTTGGATTTAAACTGTCAAAAAAATGTTACATTTATTTTGGGACATCAAAGAAGGTGAACTATTGCCTTTATGTTTGGATAGAAGCCTAGAAGGTGTATATGACAAATGATATCACATAATATAATGAGAAATGGTTACCCAAAGAGCACATTACAACTTCAGAAAGGGACCCTCAGATGTTTTTAGAACAAAACAAGAAAGAATCGAACTAGCATGGTGCAAGAATCGGAAGTCCAAGTCTATCTTTGAGTTATGATATTAGAAAAAACTTGCTTCGTCCATAATCGGGTATAGGAAGATGATAACAAAGTGATTGTGACAAACCTTCTTCAAAGACAATTGACCAGCTGCTTCTGAAGCAGTTTGGACAGGCTTCAGGTGTTTAGCATCCAATGCTTGCTTTCTCTCATCTTTCTGGTTCACCTAAAACATTGATATGGAAATACCATTAACCATGCATCTATCAAGTAGCAAATTTATAAAACAGAGTTGAAAAGAAAAAGAAAAAGAAACACATCACTAAAAGAAAAGTGAGAAACAGAGGACTTATATGCTTACTCTGTTCGCAAATATGCATATGATATTACAAATATCAACCTTCTCATCATGTGATCTGATTACCTAACACAAGCCTACAGTGGGTTGGTAAAGGACCAGGGGTGAAACCTTGGCTTCATGTGATGAACAGTTCATGGAATAATTTTGCTACATTAAAGGGTAGTGATATTGATATTGATATCGTTATAGATGCTTCTAAATTTGACAAAATATTCTCGTAAGTAAAATGTGAAAAAGAAGTAAGAGGTGACCAGATTTAAAATTCAAACAGAGCACCTTTTTCATCAGGATAACTACTATGCAACCCCAACGTCCTCCCAAATATCATCATCTCCAATCCTATCCGTCCAGCATTCACATTTCTATTACTCTGTCACATTCCATCTTTTGGTAGTTCCCAAAAATTATAGCAGGTCTCATGACCATCATATACAACTTACCATCTAGCTTTTTAATGGAACTTTCCAGACTCCTGAAGCTTGCCACCGTTGTTACTACATGATTAACAGAATATTTTCATAAATGTCTTCATATTTCCACAGTATTAAATCCAAAATAGATGAACAATATCCTTCCTAGTTAGTTCCTCCCCATGCATCTTTAGCTTCCCTCTAAATTTGCACTCCTGTATTTGTTTTAATCAGATTTGATCAAAAACCTTAGATTCCAAGGCATATCTCCAAAACTCCAACTTCACATCAATACCTTCATCATCAACTTTTAAAGATATAAATTTGTCAGAGATAATGCATGTAGTCATTGAACATCTGTAAATATGTAAATTAATAAGTGGTTACCAACTGAAAAAATAAAATAAAGTAACAAGAGAAAAAACCATAAACCTTACAAGTTACAACACATCTATCATTATGAGACATTACAAATATGAGATAATTAAGAGAATCTTCAAAATGGGGTGAGCCGGATGCAAAGGTAACTTTTATCCTGAACTGGAATTACATGGTATATTATCAAACCAGCAAAGGCCACCCATATCATGTATTTTCATAACATGTACAAATAAAGTGTTCAGTGAACCTTCTAGTATAAAACTTTTTTGAGAGCATTGAAGTATTAATTTTTAGTTTTCATCGTTGTTTCTCAGAAGAAAATAAGGATCCCTATGTTTCAAAACTTTATGTCATGTTAATGGTTTCTCTTTATGATCTTTCTCCCTTAACCATGGCAATGTGGATACTAGGTTAGGAGTTCGTGATGAAGGGTAGATGTCAAGAACTGAAAAAAAGAAGCAAACGAAAGTATAGGAAAACCACATCCCAAAAAATGCACCGATATGTACTAACACAATTTAAAACATATTGGGATTTTAATTCCCAATCAACACAACATAATTTCGTGCTAAACAATCATATATTAGCAAACTATTTTCAGAAACCTACCCCTCCTGCTGCATCTCTAAAAAAAGTAGCATTCTCGGTATATATCTCTTCAAACAACACTTTCCCACAATCAACACAATGTCTGAAAGTATAATAATGAAAATAAATCATGAAGGTTTCATCACTTAAACCACAACGTCAACCATTGTTAGAAACAGAAAAATGAAAATTAAAAGGCAAAAAAGAGCGATGGTTCTGGTCAATACTACTTACACACTGCTGGTGGTACGATCATGAGCTGTCCCACCTTTCCGTGCACAATGAGGGCACCATATTGTCTCTCTTCCCTGAAATTATTTACTCCCAAGCTTAAAGAACATGATATCCAGCCAACATACATTTGTATACATTGACAATGCAAAAAAAAAAACAAGCAGTCTACAAGAATGTATCAGTGAAAATGGGGAAAACCAGTTAGTAGCCTAAATGGTTGCTTTTGGTGTTAGAAGTCTTCCTTCAAGTTTGTTTCTTGTCCCATTTAGTAGTAATTCCTGTCTGGTTTATGGCCATTGTGAATATATATTTCACCATTTACCTAAACAAGAAAGGATCCCGTCGTGTATATGTATCTCAAGATTTAACCAAGCATCACACCATTTCTAAACCCTAAATTATGTGGTATCAGAGCCATAAGGGCTATAAAGAAAATTTTAGCCCCCGTTGCTCAACATCATACTGCCACCTCATTACAGCTGCTACCTGTCCCTGCAGCCTAAACTTGTTGGCCATCATTACAAGACTCACTGCCTTTACCTATCCCCTAACCACACCATGACTTAATTCAGCTGTGATTATGTCCTCACCTCATACTTCTGCTGTTGACCCACTATGATGATTGATGGCTGAGTTCTCTTCTGATTATCCTCGCCTGATGCTCATAGTGAACTAGAGAACATCGATATACCAAATCTATATCCTGTTTACAGTTCTGTTTCTGGTCAGAACTGTGATGTGCTCATTACTGGTACCTCCTGTCCATACTTGTACCTTTATGGGAGCATCTGTAGCTTTCTACGCCGCAAAAAGTCCTCCACTATTTCATGCCTACTTGGTTACCAAGGCATATGTGAGATGTGAGCAAGGGGTCTAGTCTGATCAGTACTCAAACTGCTTGAGAAACTTTAAGCAGAGTTACAGCTTCTACATCTGATTACCAACCTTATGTTTTGCAAGAAAGAGGTTGTATAAGTATTGACTTTTATTGGAGGTTTATTTCCTAAGTACGCAAGTTCTTGAATAGTCCTGCTAAATCACTTCGTCAATTCGTCCCCATCATCCACGTACTAACACTTACGGAGATGTGTCCTTCTGACATATCTACAAGATCCAATAGCACTTACCGTCTCTAGCAAAGATTTCCTAGCACCAGGCGAGGAGGAGCATTCTACTATGGGTTCCAGCGAGAAGATCCACTTTCTATCAAATAGAGTACAGAAATGCCAAGTGGCCTTATGTTTTCCAAATAACCAAAGAACATTGTTCGTATGTAACATTTTATCCCAATTGCACTTTTCAGGAGCTTGGGCCAAACCAGCTAATTGGCAGAGTTTCAAGTTTTAGAACCTGAATGACGTGGATACATTGTGGATTTCTGTAGCTAGTCTGTGTGATGCAAAATTTAAGTAGGTCCATCACCAGTTAGGACATCCTTCTTTGACGCTTTAAAGAAGCTAAGGCCTGAAACATTCCTTTAACACTGTCTTATTTTGTCTGTCGTGCTAGTTAGAGAAACATTGCCAGTCTCTTGCCCTGTAGAGAATCTAATCAGGTCGGTTCCTTTTCCTAGTTGCTAGATTCTAATGACGGGATGTTGGTCTTTCATATTTTATTACAACTGTAGATGATGATTATTGATTGTGCTTTGTGGGTTTATTTGTCAAATCCAAGGAGTGATTTTTTTCTTATGTGCTTAACAACAGAATAGACTATTGATGGAAGTGGCTCGCACAATGCTGATTCATCGTCATGTCCTCATAATTTATGGGGGGGGGGGGGTGTGGTTTTAACATAAAATTACCTTAGAGGCCGTATGCCATCTATTGTCTGAGATGGAAAAGACGAAAATTCCCAAATATGAGCTAAAAATTTGGGTGCCTTTTGTGATCACGACCTTCATCTTAAAGGGACTAATCTTGATCCTCTCTTGGACAAGAGTGTGTTCAACATGTCTTAAAAAGATATAGATCCTCCCTTGGACAAGTGTACCCAAAGTCCTATGCGGAATAATATGGCTTATACCACTATCACTCCTAAAACATGTATTCCCAGAAAAGTAGTAGAAGAGTCATTCACCATTCGTGGCTTTGTACCATCCTGTTCAAAAACCAAGATTTAGCATGCTAATAGACATCCCTAAATTGCAGAATGATACATGGGGTCTTAGAATCTCTTTCCAATATGCCCACTGTTGAATGTGAGTGGTTATCCAAAGTCAAGCTAAACCATAGTGGTTCTTTGCAACAGTTTGCATCACCTAAAAGGCCGTCTAGTGGCTGAAGGCTGCTCTGAGGTTTATGGGATTGATTGTGAGGAGACTTTCAAGTTAATAGCACAATTTTGCATTTATGATGCTTGTACTTCATCATTGTCCTACCTATAAAACTAAATATAAAAAAATGCATTTCTCAATAGCATTCTCGAGGATAGATCAATCACCTAGCTTTGTCATTCAGGAGACATCCAAGCTTTAGAGCCTTCAGCATTCTTTGTGTGGTCTCAAATAGGCCATAGAGCCTAGCATGGCTATTTTCTCAAGTTCTTAAGAAGTTCTAGATTGTGCAAAAGCAACAATGACTATATTGTATTCTAAAGTCATGGGCAAGGCAAACAAATTGTATACTGATTTATGTAGATTATGTTGTCCTCATGAATGATGATGATCATCAGGGTATTGAGGATCTAAGTTAGAAATCATTTTCAAGTAACAGATCATCAACGACTTCAGTATTTCTTGCAAATAGAGATCTCATAATCCCAACAGACGGTACTTCTTTGTTAGAGGAAGTATGTCATAGATGTTACTGAGTGGGGTTGACTAGGGTGCAAATTATGGCTTCACCTATGTTCGCATGACACGTTTGTTCTATGATCTTGGTGCTCTCGCAACCAAATTGATGAAGTTATATTATGATAACCAATCCATTGTCCATATAGCCAAGTATTAAGTTTCTCATTAGAGAACCAAACATATACAGCTGGTTTCGCTCGGGTCACCTCTCATCCACCTTTTATCTAACCTGTGCATATCAAGAAAGAGTACAGGCTGGCAGATATTTGATAAAATCACTACACAGGAATCCAACAGATTTTATTTGCACCAACCTTCACATTATAGATATCTATGCTCCAGCTTGAGGAGTGTTAGTTATCATCTATTAAGTTGTTGTTGGTCCTGTTAACTAAAGTCTTGTGTCTTGTTTTATTTATTAATTTGTGGGGAACCGCCTATCTGAATTCTATGTTTTTCAAGATTGGTCAACAATAAATATCTCTTCTAAGTGCCAAACAACATACATAAAAAGTTAAAAACTGACTGGTATGACAGGGCACCCTGTAAACTCCCTCCACTTTAAAGTTATGGCATGTTGGTCCAAGCCAACAGATCCAACAAACTAGACTGAAATTGGACTGACTAGCTTTATGATATTGGAAGCGGCATGGACAGTTCCCAGTTCCTAAGTTTTTGTTTGGTAAACTCAAGGTCCTATAACGGTCACAGCTGATAAAAAATTATCCCCCCTCCACTATGGCTATTTAGAAAGAAAAAAATTATGCATCTAAACTCAAATATTACTCTGTTGAAGATGATTCCTCATATTAGGATTCAATAGGTGCAGGTTATGCAAATGAAGTTGTTTGATTTCACTTTTGTGTTTTTGATCATATATGGAATTGGATAAATGCAACAAATATTTACATTTTGAATATTCATGGATTAAATTCATAATAGAACTTTCAGGGAAAGAAAAGAAAAGGGCCATCTAAAATAATTTGTAAACAAAGCCTCAAAGGGAAAAATGATGGTCTTTAAAAGTTAAACCATTGAAACACCCGAATTGATAGAAACCTTCCGCCCAATTTTTTTGGTTGTAGATAGTCCCTGTTTTGTTCGGATGCACAGCAGTACTCCAATCCAGAAAAGATACGACTACAAATTATAATAATTTCATCATGAAGATCCGCCAAAACTATAAGTTCAATCCACAAAAAGGTACTAGACAAGCAAATGCGTGGGTAGGGTGGCCAATGCTAAGAGTTCAGTCTCAATCTGGAAACCATAATTGGCTTAATTCACCTTCAGCCCCACTTGCATTCCGGTGAATTAAAATTCAACAATACAAAGCACCATGGAACAAAGTATTAGACGTCCAAATTCATATCATCAAAGGACATGCATTTAAACTACCAACATCAAGATATATATTATATACTTCTGGAAACCACAGAATCATCTAAATACCTGAATCAACAGTCAATATACTTTATCATTGTAGTAACAGTAAGTCCTATTTTGGAGCTAGATGCAATATGTATGGCTGTAGGGCTGTAATAGCTTATTTTATTAGGTTCTATTTTCATAGCTTTATGCCTGAAATGTTTAGAAAGTAGGAACCTTATAGTGCCTTGTAGCATGTGAAACTTTGGTGATCCTGTTCTTGTATATCAACTTATTAGTTGCAACATTCCCTGCGCACATAAGAAAATGAGACAATATCGTGTAAGATACAGGTGATAACAAATTGATTCTTCTCCCTCAATTCTTCAGCTTTATTCAAGAACAAAGAGGCCTTAAATAGCCTTTACACACGATGGAAAAGCGAAAAATACTGAAAATCATAACAGCCCCTAATTCTCGTTCAACACGATGACTAAGACTGAGTAAACAGGGTAACACTACTGATACTTGGCTTGGGCCTTATTTCAAACAAACTAAAAAACAGAAATGGGCTAGCCCAACATAGAAAACAGCCCAATAAATTCCTTCCCTTAAACAAGCAAGCATTAAGCTGCTTGTTTAACATCTTGCACCCCAATTTCCTTCCTGATAAACTCAAAGACTGTCAACTTCAATGGCTTGGTCATGAGGTCTGCTAACTGCTCCTCTGAACTACAAAACTTTAATTGAATAACATCTTTGTTCACCAACTCTCTAATGTAATGAAACCGTACATCAATATGCTTTGTTCTTCTATGCATTACCGGGTTCTTTGACAACTTTATGGCTGAACTGTTGTCACACATAACCTCCACTGTTCCAGCTTTTTCTTCAAGTTCTTCAAGCAAACCTTTCAGCCATACACAATGGCACGCACACGTTGTGGCCGCAACGTATTCTGCTTCGGTTGTAGACAACGTGACTACTTCTTGCTTACGTGAACTCCAACATACTGCAGCACCATTAAACAAACAAACGTACCCAGAGGTGCTTTTCCGATCCTCTAGATCACGTGCATAATTGCTATCGGTAAACACCCTCAGCTTCTGACTTTTATCCTTCCCGTAATACAACCCATAATTTATAGTTCCTTTTATATATCTCAGTACTCGCTTTGCCACAACCATGTGTTCTTCTTTAGGTTTAGCCATAAATCTCGATAACAAGCTGACCACATACATTAAATCTGGACGTGTCACTGTTAAATACATGAGACTTCCTATGAGACTCATATACTTAGTGTTCTTTACGTCCTTTCCTGATGTGAGCTTCATAAGCTTGGTACCCGGAACAATTGGATTTTTCACATCGTTTACTTCCCACATTTTGAACCGCTTTAAGACTTCCCTTGCATACTGCGATTGGCACAATGTGATTCTTTCTGACTTTTGACTTACTTCCACACCAAGGAAGAATTTCATCTTCCCTAAGTCGGTCATTTCGAATTCACGTTGCATAGACCTTTTAAATGACTCACACATCACAGGATCATTTCCAGTATAGATCAAATCATCAACGTATAGGCTAACAATGATGACTTTATTCCATACCTTCTTTATAAATAGTGTGTGATCATGAAAACTCTTCTTGAACCCTTCACGTATGAAATAACCTTCAATCCGATTAAACCAAGCTCGGGGAGCTTGTTTTAATCCATACAACGCACGTTTTAACCTGTATACCTTAGCTTCCTCTCCTTTCTTTATGAACCCCTTCGGTTGAGTGACATGCACCACTTCCTTGAGCTCACCATTCAAGAATGCGCTTTTGACATCTAATTGGTACACCGTCCAATTTCTTTGCGCAGCCACTGCTATTAAGGTTCTGATCGTGTCCCACCGTGCTACTGGAGCGAACACCTCATAATAATCTACGCCTTCCCGTTGGGCATAACCTTTGACTACTAACCTCGCCTTGTACTTGTCAACCTTCCCAAGTTCATTTAGTTTTGTCTTGTACAACCATTTTACTCCTATAGGCTTCGTTCCAGCTGGCGGATCAACCAATTCCCAAGTATGGTTCCTTTCTATAGCAGTCATCTCGGTATTCATTGCTTGTACCCATTTTTCATCTTTGCATGCTTCTTCATACGTCACTGGGTCTTCCATTGCACTATACATTGCGAAACCAGCTTCATCTTCATTAAATGGGTCTTGATTTGTATAATAGTCATCCATCCACACAGGTGGTTTTCGTGTGCGAGTGGAAGACTCAGGTTGAGTAGTAGGTACACTTTGATCTTGTGAATTTCCTGTGGTAGCCGAGACTGGACTGTTAGAAACATTATGAGTATTTTGAATTTGTGATGTACCTCGACTTGGTGAACATGCTTCATCTTCAGAATTCTGTGTATTGTTGGGAGTGTTTGGTGAATCTTCTACATCTTCATTTTCATGTTGACTCCCTTGAACCTTTTCATCATCTTCTATGATRAACTCTTCTGCTTTATRATTTTCTTTAGACCAATCCCAAGTTGCATCCTCATCGAATATTACGTCTCKGCTGATTACAATTTTCTTACTTGATGGGTCATACAAACGATAGGCTTTTGATTCTTGGCTAACACCAAGAAATACACACTTGTGACTCCTTGCATCCAGTTTGGTTCGTACTTGAGCAGGTATATGGACATGCCCTATGCATCCAAATACCTTAAAATGCTCAACACTTGGTTTCGATCCTGTCCAAAACTCTTCTGGTACCTTTTCATCAAGACTCCTGCTCATACACCTGYTTAACACATGGCATGCCCACTTTGCTGCTTCTGCCCAAAAGTATTTAGGCATTGATTTTTCAGCTAATAAACACCGAACCATGTTCATTAAGGTCAGGTTTCGTCGCTCTGCAACCCCATTTTGTTGTGGGGTGTAGACGGCTGTAAGCTGCCTTTTAATACCTTGAGCTTCACAGAACTTATTAAATGAATTCGAGGTGAACTCACCTCCTCTATCGCTTCTCAAACACTTGATATTCATGCCAGTTTCTTTTTCCACATAATTTTTAAAGTTTTTAAATATTTCAAAACTTTCATTTTTCTGTGATAAGAAATAAACCCAAGACTTTCGTGTGTAATCATCGATAAACACAAGTATGTACCTTTTTCCACTGGTTGAGACAGGAGCGATGGGTCCACACAAGCCTGTGTGTATTAATTGCAGCTTCTCTGTAGCACGCCAATTGCTCTTCTTGGGTATTGCCTCTCTCTTTTGTTTTCCGATGGCACAAGTCTCACACACAACGTGTTTTTCTGCAACTGCGGGTAGACCTTTTACCATGCTTTTGTATAACATGGTTCTAATGGCTTTGTGATTGACGCGTCCAAACCTCTTATGCCATAGTTGGGTCTTAGAATCGTCACTGACTTGTAGACACTTCAATTTTTGAGACTGCAATGAGGCATTAACAGGAAACATCCTGTTCTTTGTCATGTTGGATGTAATGATCAAACCCTTTTGGGGGTGAAARACCTTACAAACACCACCTTGAATAACAAAGGTCAAGGACCTTTCTTGAAGCTGCCCAATACTAATGAGATTTGATGTTAGTAAAGGTACATAATAAACATCCGTAATGACATGTGTTATACCGTTCAAAGTCAAGCGAACATCACCCTTTCCTTTGACTTCCAATCTGTGGTCATTTCCCAATCTGACCTTGTGTTGATACGTCTCATCTATGCGAATAAACCATTCCTTAATACTCGTCATGTGGTTTGAACAAGCTGAGTCTAGAAACCAGAATCCCTCCTTACCGTGCTTGTCTTCACTTACTGCTGCCGTTAATATTTTGGTTTCCTTTTCGTATCCTTCAACATCAACTGAAGCCATCAACAAAAATTCTTCATTGTCTTCAAATTCTGCATAGTTTACCGGACGGGCATCATTTGAACATTCATATTGGAAATGCCCTAACTGATGACATTTATAGCATTCAATCTGAGACTTGTCAAATTTAGGCCTATTCTCATTTTGTGATCTTCCTCGGCCACGCCCTCTTCCTCTATTGGAGTTCCCTCTGCCCCGGCCTCTTCCACGTCCAGTATTATGATCATTTTCAACCTTTAGAACTTGTTCATCATTTACCTTTCTTCTGATCTTTTGTTCATGAATCAGTAAAGAACTTTGAAGTTCATCTACTGTCATGGTATCAAGATCCCTTGATTCTTCTATGGTACAAACCACAAAGTTGAAACTTTCTGTCATGGTTCTTAGCACTTTCTCTACAATCTTTACATCACTCATATCTTCACCGGCATTCCGCATATCATTTGCAATAACCATGACTCGTCCAAGGTAATCAGTAACTGTTTCTCCGGCTTTCATCTCCAACGTCTCGAAATCCCTTCGCAGCCGCTGCAATCTTTTTACTCTATCATTACCCCGATATTTGATCTTCATAGCATCCCATATCTGTTTAGACGTCTGCTTCTGTGTGATTGTCTTCAAAATCGATTTGTCTATAGATTGAAACAGATAATTACAAGCTTTTAAGTCCTTAAGCTTGTTCTCCTCATAGTGTTTTTGTTGCGTCGTTGTTGCCTGATCCCCTGGCTTGATTACTTGGTACCCTTCATCTACCACTCGCCAATATTCTCTTGATCGGAGAAGGGTCTCCATTACCATACTCCAATGATCGTAGTCTCCGTCGAAWTTGGGTACACTRGGGCCATGAAACTGTCMTGTTTCCTCCCCCATAACAGCGAYTGCTTGAATACTCTCRGGAACTCTCGTGAAAGGAATTACGCTCTGATACCACTTGTAAGATACAGGTGATAACAAATTGATTCTTCTCCCTCAATTCTTCAGCTTTATTCAAGAACAAAGAGGCCTTAAATAGCCTTTACACACGATGGAAAAGCGAAAAATACTGAAAATCATAACAGCCCCTAATTCTCGTTCAACACGATGACTAAGACYGAGTAAAYAGGGTAACACTWCTGWTACTTGGCTTGGGCCTTATTTCAAACAAACTAAAAAACAGAAATGGGCTAGCCCAACATAGAAAACAGCCCAATATATCGGAATTGTAAGTGATAGCAATCATGGACAAAACTACTCCTTAATTTGTCCTCTCTAACGAAGTACCACATCAATTGATTTTTGGAAATAAATTAGTCATTGATGCTAGATCAACTTTTTCCAGTCCTCTTCATATTCAATATACCAAATTTCCACACCAAAATATGACAACTCTCAAGAAGACAAGTACTTCCAACAAGAGCCATAGGTTTAAAAACTGAAAACACATAATTCATTCTGGAGTACAATATAATCAAGAGCTTTGACTGCCATAATGATGTTATGTCATTGCTTAATAATCCATACAAAAGTGCAGCGCTCAACTAAGGAAACTGGAGTAAACAGCTTAAAATTAATAAAACAGATCCTAAATCAAAGTACAAAACGATTAACAAAAAGATATACTTAATACCAATCACCATGTACCTTTCCGCAAGGTTCTTCTCTGTGACTCAAAGCAAGCACCTCCAAATCTTACAAAGTTGCCTGTCAGATGAGCCTGCATATATATATACACACACAAGTTTTCCAGGTCAAAAGTGAAAACAGTACTGTTAAATGTGTAAAAGAAGTACCGCTGTGGCCTGTGTGGAAAAGAATTCCAGGAATCAATTAAAATTCGTAAGGAAAGATCCATAACTTCTTTGAAGTAGGGAAATACAGCACCAAGAACATTGAGAATGAAAAAGGAAGATGCCACTTTATCAAAAATCATTACCAGCTTCACTTAACCAAACTAAACTTGCATAACAATTTTGATTTTCACATAGCGACTCATGGTTTAAGTATCCATCTTTGTATAGAAATGAACAAAACAAAACATACAAAATTCACATCCAAAAACGGACTTAAAAAGATTTAAATAATAAAAAAGATATTGAGATCTTATCTTCCACAACCAACAAATATAGATTTCTTCTGAGCAGTCATATATGGAGTAAATTATGTTCAAACACGTACCCCTCCTGCTGCATCTGTAACAAAGGTAGCCTCCTCAGTAAATATGTCTTCAAATAGAACTTTCCCACAATCAACACAAGATCTGAAAGTAAAACCACGAAGGTGTCATCAGTTGAAACACAATGCTAAACATGTTTGCAAATGCACATGAAAAGGCCAAAAAGGTTAAAACTCTTGGTAAAACCACCCACGTATTGTTGGTGGTATAATCACGAGATGTCTCACAATTCTTTCCGCAATGAGAGCACCATGTCATCTCTCTTCCAGAATTTAACTATCATAAAAAATAAAGAACATCAGCAGCATATTCAGATAAAATATATGCAAGCACAGAAAATGCAAAAATAGGTATGCAAGCTGACTTATGGTGAACCACATTAAAATACTTTTTCCTGACATAAATACTGTAGTATTGAAAACAGACCCTGTCTGTCAGCAATGTAGATTAGCCTTCTTCTCTGTAAATTGCAAAGGGAAATGCTTTTTCCGATTTGTCAATGAAAGGATATGTATAAATAAGTAAACAGATATATGCATCATTACTTACATGCATATCTGATGGTTTATAAGATTATGAGTCTGTAACACCACCTTAACCCTTGTATATATAATAGACCCTGTCCACCACAACGTAGATGAGCCTTTTTCCTTTGTAAATTGGGAAAGCGAATACTCTTTTGATTTCTTAAGGAAATAATACTTATAGATAAATAAACAGGTATATGCATAATTAATTACATATGTGGTCGTATGTATCAAATCGTTAAGTGCGCATGCAATCTTTAATATGGATATAAGATTGCAAGCTTGTTTCCCCACTTTAATGAAGATGTGTTTTTAATACAAAGATCCTTGTTTACATAAGCTGTCATGGTAATAAAACCCATTGTGTAGAAATGCATAAATGGCAATGTACGAAAATATAAATTCCATATATTCTCCATTATTAGAGCAACAATGCCTAAGGAAAAAACAGTTAAGAACAATACACTGTGCCAGTAAGCATTAAGAAGCAGAATCAGAGTAGAATTAAAAATGGTAAGATTCAGCAAGAATTTATCATGTATCGATACACTTTCTTTTACAAGAAAAAACATTGAAATTGGTATACAAGACCTTCCTTTATGTTCCCTGTGCTATAGGATTCCTGATAAGTCATCTGGACTACAAAACATGGGTTGGGGACCGTTTAGCAATTGATTTCCCCCCTTTTGTTTTTATTTAGTGAAATGGCACTGTTTCATACAGGATAACCAATGAAGCCCCATCTCTGATGATTTCTTGTATTAAAATACAATTTTATATAGGTTAAGTAAGAATTATGGAGTTGTATGGTTTAATTTGTGTCTTTGGCATGTGACTATATATGGAATTAGAAAAGTGCCACAAACCTTTACATTTGATTATGCATCGACTCCAAGCATTCATAATAGTATGGGACTCCTCAAGAAAAGGAAAGAGAAAACATTATGAGGTAACATTATGAAGTTCTACAAAAAAAAAGGAACTTAAAAGAATCAAAGCTCATTCCAACATTGAACTGTTTGCAAATTGAACCCAAACTACATACTTCTGTCCATTTCTTACTTCTTGTTCCTTTCAGTTTGTGGTTTCCATTCAGTCCCAGTCTTGGACAGATGCACAGGCAGCACAGTCCTATTCTGTTTCGTGAAAATGTACCCTTTTACTATAGATGCCAAACAGTTGAAGACTTCTCAAGAAAAATCACTATTTCCAGAGTTGAAGTTGCATGAAACTCCATATGAACTTTCTTATGTAAGGAACTAGGTGTCATTTAACGAATCAAAGTGTAACTCTTCTTGGGAAGGGATGGAGACATAGAGTATAAAAAGTTCCTACTACAATGAGACACGCATCATGATGATGAGCCACCAGAACTACCGGTGACAAGCCCCAAGATGTGGATGGTTTGGTGACACACATTAAAGGTAGCTCAGGTACAAAGCTCTGGACAAATTTGGCATAATTTACCTTAGACACAAACAGGGTGATCTTGATTGGCCCATGGGGGACCTTAATCAATATTGTAAGCTTTAAGCAACTTCACTCATAATCCAAAAAAGAGATTTGTGTGGGTTCATCAAGATCGATTCTAATTCCAATTGTCAGATGGCAATACTTGAAAATATACCTTAAAGAATATCGACTACAACACTTATGTCAAATAGCATTATGGAAAATTCCTAACTACATTCCACGGTGGTAAGTGTTAATTTGGAACTAGCTGCACCATAAGCTCCTCCTTGCTCTGCTCATCATTACATCAATCAATTAGTAAACTATATATATAAGCATTGCCTTTTTCATAAGTTAAAGAAACCACTAACATCTATAATGACTGCATAGATGATTGTCTGTTCAAGAAACCAGTTGTTATGGACGTGTGTATTTTGATTGTTGCTAAAAATAATTAATATACAAGTTCAACATGCATAACTCTGCAATTCTAAAGCTACTTTATAATGGGGAATTTTAGTATGTTCCTAAGTGATTTAATGATTGCTGTTGTTGAATATTTTATAAATTCACTAGAAGGGTAATTACACAGGTGGGGATTGCATTGAATTTTGTGAAAGTGAGATATGTTCCTCGGCCATAACTCCTTGGTGCAGTCCCCAATGACAAGGAGACTAGAAACTGAGTAATAATCTATCCGTGCGCATTTGCTAGTGCTGAAAACGACACAGAGGAGATCCTCACAACACTACTTTCATGTTTATCAAACCTTATTTCTTTAAACTTTGATCAGTTTGCATTCTCTTAAGACTTTCATCAAACACCTCCAAACCACAAAATCTCAGTAACTTGGATAGAATGTTACGACATATTCCAAAAGTCGAAACTACATACATTGAACAAGAATTTTAGCATAAAGCAATCATCAAACAAAGACATGTTCTTCGCCATCGAAAACCCCGCCGGAGTTTGATATTCCGGCGCAGCGGGAAGATTAATGGTGGGAGTGAACTTACAAGTGGGAAATGAAAGGATTAGTTTCATCTTTTAGACGATATTTTTATGTTAACGGATGAGTTAAATCGCAGAAACCTTACCGGCATTAACGATGATAAACAGCGGCGGCCGGAGGTACAATCGACTTAAGAGAAGGTGGTGGCACTGACAGTTTCTTGTGAATGTGGGGATTTGCCCGCAAATTTCCGCTGATGATGACGTCACTAATTGGGCTAGAATATGGGCCACATGTTATAAAATTTAAGCCCTTCGAATACACTATAAAACTCATCCCCTCTACTATGTATTCATCAACAGGTTTAGTACTTGATCTGTAATGTTGTATTAGGGGGTGTAAAAAAAACCCGTCAAATCGTTCACAATCCAATTAAACACAATTTGCGAAACCGTCAAGTCAAAATGGTTGAAATTGGGTTGGCCTACTCAAACCGCCATTAATATATATTACTTCGATAAAATTTTATTTATATATATATATTACTAGTCTAGACTTGGGTTCACGTGAGACCAGACTGTTTCTATGAGACTCGTGAGGTCTTTTTTTATACTTGAAACTTCGTAGCAAAACACTGTGAAGGTAACCTTCATAGTATTTTTGCTGTGAAGATTCGGACTTTTTTTACCTTCACAATGTTTTGATATGAAGGTAAAGAGTAAAAATATGGTCTCATGGGTCTCACGAAATTAGTCTGCTCTCAAATAAACCCAACCCTATTAGTCTATTACATATATATATATATATGTATATATATATATATATGTGTGTGTGGAGGTTCAAACGAGAACACCTCCATTTTACGAGAACACGAGAAACTCTTATCACATGTGATAATACGCGTGAGGGGAACCTATGATATGCGGACGATGTGTTCTACGACTTATGTCACGCCAAAAGTTGTCTGCGTCTATGATTTAGCATCACATGTGATAGTCTTGATGAATTATAGTATCATATCAACAACACTCTTATCACATGTGATAATACTTGTGAGGGAGCTTAGTGGTGTAAGGGCGACTTGGCCCGCAACCAAGATAGCATCGAAAAACGTATGATTTATTATCACATGTGTATCACATGTGATGGAATAATAATATCACATGTGATTGTCTATAGTAAAAGGGTGTTCTCGCGTTCTCGTAAAATGAATGTGTTCTCGTTTGAACCTTTTGCTATATATATATATATATATATTACAACACTCGTGTTTTCAATATCTAGCCATTATTCAGTCTTTGTGGTATTTGAATCAAGAGTCTTGCTTGTACTGGGATGAACAAAAGTTGTGTAGAAAATCATCAGGGACATTAAGGGATCTTTCATGCAAGTTTGATCACTCGAGAAGTCATAAATCCTTTTAAAAACACAATAAAGTGTCAAGCCAGTTGTCAAGTGAGTTAAACTCACTTTAAAACTAGCTTCGAGCTCTGAAAGTTTGATTTTTATTCTCGGGCTAGTTTCCACATTAGTTTAACTAGCGGTAAAACTAGCGTGGAGGTCTGACCTGCATAAAAAGGCCGAAAATCGGGAACTTCCTCATTTTAGCCATAACTTCTTCGTTTCTACTCCATTTTGGGAGATTTTTGTTGCTATGGTTTTATACTTTGAATCTCTTTAATATGGATACAAAGAAGATTGAAGTTTCCTTGAAGAGTTTGGGTTCCTATAAGTCGAAAGGAAAGCCTCTATCCGACCATTTCTTAACCTAGGGTTTGGTCCTTTTACACCACCAATTGTCATCTCTTCTCTTCGGTTTGTGTATATTTTGGGAGTAAAAGAAGTATTTTTTTAGAAGGTTTGCACCATAGATCTAGAAGTTTAGCTTGGAGATCTAAGGTTCTCACCATTTTGGAAGCTAAAGATGGGTTTGTAACCTATGTTTAACTTAACATAGCAAGGTGAGATCAAGTTGTTTTATAAAAACTATGTACATGCCAAAATGTGTATTTTGAAGTATTAATGTTTTTACTTGATATTTATCAAATGTGTTAAGTATTTAAGAAAGTTTGCGTATTTGGTAAATTTGGGTTAATAAATCTTGTAAAACACCTATATTTGGATCTTTGGACGTTTTGATAAATGAATCTCAAGAATGTGTTTTTTTGGTGCTTTATTGTACAAATGGAGAGCATTTAATATTAATGCATTTTGGTGTATTTTGTTTTATAAACCGTTTGGAAAATACATGTTATTGTTTTATGAGACATTTAGAAAATATAAGGATATAATTTCATTTGGAAAATGGTTTGTCTCCACCAATGATGGGTTTTGAGTTAACCATGCCTTTGGAGCAAGTATTTGTATAAACGTTGGTTAAATGTGTCTTATTCCTTTGATGACTTTTATTGTATAGTCAATGGAGTTGCTGAGTTTTTGGCTCGGTTTTGACTCAAATGAGTCTTTAGGCCATTTGTCCGGTTTATTTTGCTATATGTTGAGCTTTTAGAGTTTATATGCGGTTATGGCGTATTTATTTATAATTACATATTTTTGGGTGTGTTGGTCATTAAGTTAGAGTCATGTAATTTAGACTGTAATGCAATGGATCCAAAAGCATAAAAGTCAGTCTTTATTGATTTAAAATGGGACGTTTTCCCATGTTGTGGCTAGGAATACACA